GGGGTCCAGCTCTGGGGGCCACAACTGTGCCCACCCATCCTTATTCCTTGTTCTCTTTCCTCCATTGTGCCTGGGAAATAAACTCAATCCAATCTTCAGACTTTGAATTCCCCAGAGACTCTGGAACCCAGATCCACAGGAGTGGGGTGAGGGAGGTGCTGGTGGTGGTGGCCGGGAGGCTTGGAGGAGGGGTGGGAGAGGGGTCGAGCGGCACATTGGATCAAAGTCTCAGGGTCTTGCCTGAGGATTAGACTTTGGGGTGTTGGCCCATTTCTGGATGATCCCTCTTTTCCTGGGCATTCAGGACTTGGGGTTACAGCTGGTTCTTTGGAAACCTCCAGGATCGAGATAAACATCCTCCCCGATCACAGCCAGTGATGAATCAACCAGGGCTGATAATCCAGTGGGGATCTCAGGAGAATCCCCGTAGCACTCCCTGCCTCCATCCCTTCCTCTGACCACCGTTTTATTTATTTATTTATTTATTTATTTTTGCTTTTTGGGTCACACCCGGCCATGCACAGGGGTTACTCCTGGCTCTGCACTCAGGAATTACTCCTGGTGGTGCTCAGGGAACCATATGGGATGCTGGGAATTGAACCCGGGTCAGCCGCGTGCAAGGCAAACGCCCTACCCGCTGTGCTATTGCTCCAGCCCCCTTTTCTGACCACCTTTGCACCAGGCCAAACCCTCCCTCTTTGGAGTCTCTCAGTCTCTCGAGCAGAGCTAGGTGTCTTAGAGTCCCTGAGCACATGCCCATGTGTGCCAGGGCCCAATAAACATCAGGGTAAGCCCTCAGGCTTCTGGGAAGCTCCAAGAGCCAGCCGGGATGGTGCCAGGTCTGGGCTTCCGAGCGGGACATGATACCAAGTTTCAAATCCCTGCTGGTCGAGGCATGTCTCCCGGGCTGGCACTTGCTGGCTGGCATTGTGCAGAGGTAGTGTTTTTCACAAGCTGAAGGGTGTGTGTGTGTGTGTGTGTGTGTGTGTGTGTGTGTGTGTGTGTGCAGCAAATTCCTTGGGCCCATGCTCCTAACAGCTCCAGTGATGATTAGCGTTGAAGAGAAAAGTGCTTTAAATGTAGACATGTAGACACTGCTTTGGGGTGGAGGGGCGGAAGGGCACCCCCAGCAGTGCTCCGTGGCCACTCCTGGTTCAGCAATCAGGAATCACTCCTGGCAGTGCTTGGGAGACTGTGTGCAGTACTGGGGGTAGAACCTATGTTAACTGCATGCAAGGAAAGCACCTGTTATCACGCTGGACTCTACACACTAGTATAAAAAACTTGTGTTGTTGTTGCTTTTTGAGCCACACCAGGCTGTGCTCAGGGCTTACTCCTGACTCTGTGCTCAGAGATTACTCCTACTGGGCTTGGAGAACCATATGGGACATTGGGGATTGAACTTGGTCAGCTACATGCAAGGCAAACACCCTACTTGCTGTACCATCTCTCTGGCTCTCTACATCACGATTTTTTTTTTTTTGCTTTTGGGGTCACACCCAGTGTTGGACAGAGGTTACTCCTGGTTCATGCACTCAGGAATTACTCCTGGCAGTGCTCGGGGAACCATATGGAATGCTGGGAATCAAACCCGGGTCGGCCACGTGCCAAGCAAGTGCCCTACCTGCTGTACTATCTCTCTGGCTTTCTACATCACTTTTTAAGGCTTTTTTTTTTTTTGGGCTTTTTGGGTCACACCGGCTATGCTCAGGGGTTCCTCCTGGCTCTGCACTCAGGAATTACTCCTGGTGGTGCTCAGGGAACCATATGGGATGCTGGGATTCGAACCTGGGTCAGCCTCACGCAAGACAAACGCCCTACCCGCTGTGCTATCGCTCCAGCCCCTAAAGCATTATTCTTTTGCACCCTTAATACAGGGTAGTTTAGGGAAAGTAGCACCTTGATGGGCACCAAAAAAAAAATGCAATTTTGCCAGATTCACTCGTGTTTGGGGGCCTGGAATGAACTGCACAGTATCTCTGAGGTCTGTCTGTGCAGGGGTCTAAGGGCACCTTAGCTTGAACATCTGGGCACCTTATCTTCTCCCTCCACCCCACTCCCAGCCCCCCTACTCCACCCCGGAAGGAGAGAGTCGCCCCTCTCAGCAGCTCTCGCTGAGTGCCCACACAGCTCTTCAAAACACTCCTTGCCGGGCTGGAGCGATAGCACAGCAGGTAGGGCGTTTGCCTTGCGTGCGGCTGATCCAGGTTCGATTCCCAGCATCCCATGTGGTCCCCTGAGCGCCGCCAGGAGTGATTCCTGAGTGCATGAGCTAGGAGGAAGCCCTGTATATGGTCGGGTGTGACCCAAAAAGAAAAATAAAATGCAAATAAAAAAACAGGAACACTTCTTGCCCGTTTCTTGCCCGTTTCTTAGGAGCAGATTCCCTTCAGGGGATGTGGAGGCGGCATTAGTGGAAATTTACCGCTGAGGAAGTCTCACTTGGCTCCTCCTGGCCCTTCTGCCCTTCCTCCCGCTGCGTTCGTTGTTGCTGTGCAGTCGTGATGACTGGGTGCAGCCTGGGTGGCGGCTGGCGGGCGCTGGGCTTGCTCTCTGCCCTCAGCCTCCTGCCTGCAAGGCGGGTGCTCTCTGGAGCTCCAGAGCCCAGGTCCGGATTTGGATCAGGATGAAAGCCAGAACCCTGAGCTCCCTGGGGGGTTCGGTCTTTCAGACAAAGAGTGTTTCCAAGAGTTGGCCTTTTCAAAGCTTTCTGCTCTGCAGATGGCGGGCCCGGATTTTCCTTTCCTTTTTTTTTTTTTGCTAGCTATTTCCTTCCTTCGTTCCTTCCTTCCTTCCTTCCTTCCTTCCTTCCTTCCTTCCTTTCTTTCTTTCTCTTTCTTTTATTTTCTTTCTTTCTTTCTTTCTTTCTTTCTTTCTTTCTTTCTTTCTCTCTCATTCCCCCCTCTCTTCCTTCTTTCTTTCTTTCTTTCTTTCTTTCTTTCTTTCTTTCTTTCTTTCCCTCCCTCCTTCCCTCCCTCCCCCCCTCTCTCTCTTTCTTGGGTGTCAGTTTCATATTATGTTATTTTATATTCCACAAATGAGTGCGGTCCTTCTATGTCTGTCCCTCTCTTTCTGGTCATTTCACTTAGCATGATATTCCCCATGACCATCACTTATAAGAAAATTTAATAACTTCGTCTTTTCTAACAGCTGCGTAGTATTCCACTGTGTTGATGTACCAAGTTTTCTTTAACCAGTCGTCTGTTCTCTGGCACTCGGGTTGTTTTCAGATCCTGACTATTGTGAACAGTGCTGCAATGAATATACAGGTGCAGATGTCATTTCTGTGCTGCTTTTTTGCACCCTCGGGGTTTATTCCCAGAATTGGTATTGCTGGATCATAGGGACCTGCATTTTCTAGGAGGTCAGAAGCTGGCTCCCTCCTGGCTTCCTTTGGCTGCTCCCCAGGCCAACCGTGGCCGGCACCACCGTGCTCGCCTCTTCTGCTAAGGTGTGGGCATGCCTGGCTGGGGGCTGCCTTTGGCCAATCCATGATTTGCCCTGGAAGGGGCTGGCCGGGTGTCTTTCGGTGGGCAGACAGAGGCTAGGAGACTAGCTATAGGTCCAGCTCTGGGGGCCACGACTGTTCCCTGCGCCCACCCATCCTTATTCCCTGTTCTCTCACCTCCATCGTGCCCGGGAGATAAGCTCAATCCCATCTTCAGACTTTGAATTCCCCAGAGACTCTGGAACCCAGATTTACAGGAGTGGGTGGGGGGAGGTGGTGGTGGTGGTGGGAGGCTTGGGGGAGGGTTGGGAGGATTAACGAGCGGCACATTGGATCAAAGTCTCAGGGCCTTGCCTGGAGGATTTGACTTTGGGGTGTTGGCCCATTTCTGGATGACCCCTCTTTTCCTGGGCATTGTCAGAGCTCAGAGCAGGCCAAGTCCTTCCTCAGATAAGAGGGCTTGGGAGGAAAGGGAGGGAGGTTACGGGGAAGGTCCCACCCATTTCATTGCACCTGGGTCAAGATTTGAAACTCAAAGGCCTGGAGACTGTTTGCAGAATCCTGGGGGCTTCTGAACAGCGGCCAGGGGACTTCCTGTGACCTCAAGCTGGGGATTCCAGTGCTTTCCAGCTCCATTGCTGGCTCCCTCTGATTTTCACCCACTGGGGAGAGACCCCCGCCCGCGCCCCATACACACCCCTCCTCCTCCTGCGCTTTCCTTTCAGGGAGGGGCACTCTGTGTGTGTGGGGGGGGGTGGGGAGGCAGATTCTGTTTCTCCTCACAGTGCTTTGGTTTTAAAGTTTTGTTTTATTTTTATTTATTTATTTATTTTTGCTTTTTGGGTCACACCCGGTGATGCACAGGGGTTCCTCCTGGCTCTGCACTCAGGAGTTACTCCTGGCGGTGCTCAGGGGACCATATGGGATGCTGGGAATCGAACCCGGGTTGGCCGCGTGCAAGGCAAACGCCCCACCCGTTGTGCTATTTCTCCAGCCCCAAGTCTTGTTTTATTTTTGCTTTTTGGGGTCACACCCGGTGATGCTCGCTCGGGGGGGTTCCTCCTGGCTCTGCACTCAGGAATTACTCCTGGCGGTGCTTGGGGGGACTCTATGGGATGGCGGGGGATTGAATCTGGGTCGGCCACGTGCAAGGCAAACGCCCCTCCCCGCTGTGCTATCACTCCGGCTTCTCCTGCTCCTTTCCGTATTGGGGCAGCTGTCCCGGGGGCCCCAACGATGCAGAGAACAGCTTTGTCCTGGGCAAGTGCTCATTCAGTGGACCCCGAGTGCCCTGCAGAGCCACCAGGGAGGGGGGAAGGGAGTGGAGGGAAGCCCGAGAGCCAGGAGCTGGGAGATTGAGTCGGGGTGGCCCCATGGCTGGACCCGGCCATTGCTGCCTGGAGTTGCTAGTCCCCCTCAGCCCAAGGAGGCCGCAAACTGGCGCCGACTCTAATGGGTCTGAAGGTCAGGGTAGGGGCCAGGACACCTGCGGGTTTCCTGGTCGGGGAGATGCCCCCTTCATTTTCCACGGTGGCCTCTGCTCTGTCCCCAGGGGAGTGCCTCGTCACGGGACAGTCCCACTTCAAAACCTTTGACAACAGACACTTCACCTTCAGCGGCATCTGCCAGTACCTGCTGGCCCGCGACTGCCGCCACCAGGCCTTCTCCATCATGATCGAGACAGTGCAGGTGAGCTGTGGGGTGGGGTGGGTGACTTCTGGGTCACACCTGGAGGAGCCAAACCCACAGGCCTGGGGACGGGAGGATGGGCCAGACAGGACAGGCCCGAGGCAGGGAGAAGGAGACATTTGCCTCGCACACAGCCTGTCCTGGCCCCTGCCCTGGCCCCTCGGAGGATCCCCTGAGCCTTGCGGAGAAAGATCCCTGAGCACAGAGGCAGGAGTAAGCCCTGAGCACCGCTGGGTGTGGCCCCCCAGCTCCCTTTCCCTCTGCAAAAGAAAAAGGTTGGAGAGACAGTGCAACCTGCTTGGCATACAGGAGGCCCGAGCAGCATCAGGAGTGACCCCTGGGCACAGCCAGGAGCAGCCCCTGGAGACCGCTAGGTGTTCCCCGATTCCTTACCCCAACAGAGAGAGCGATGGAGAGAGAGGGACAGAGACAGAGACAGAGAGAGAGAGACAGAGAGAGAGGAAAAGAAAAAAAAGGAAGAAAGAAAAGAAAAGGAAGGGAGGGGAGAGATGGAGGAAGGAGGAGGAAGGAAGGAAGGAAGGAAGAAAGGAGGGAAGGAAGGAAAGGAAGGAAGGAGGGAGGGAGGAAGGAAGGAAGGGATGGAGGAGGGAGGAAGGAGGGAGGGAGGGAAGGAGGGAAGGAAGGAAGGACGGAGAGGAAGGAAGGAAGGAAGGAAGGAAGGAGGAGGAAGGGAGGGGAGGAGGGGAGAGAGGGAGGGAGGAAGGAAGGAAGGAAGGAAGGAGGAAAGGAAGGAAGGAGGAAGGAAGGGAGGGAGGAAGGAAGAAGGAAAGAAAGGAAGGAGGAAAGGAAGGAAGGAGGAAGGAAGGGAGGGAGGGAAGGAAGAAGGAAAGAAAGGAAGGAGGAAAGGAAGGAAGGAGGAAGGAAGGGAGGGAGGAAGGAAGAAGGAACGAAAGGAAGGAGGAAAGGAAGGAAGGAGGAACGGAAGGAAGGGAGGGGAGGAAGGAAGGAGGGCCAGATGGACATGGGAAAGGCCCAGGAGCTGCCGGTCTCAGCAAGGTCCAGCGAAGGCTTCCTTGTCCCTCTCTTCGAGGGGGCTCTGCTCCCCGGAACTTTCCGTACAGCTGGTGCCGGCCCCTGAGACAGGCCCTCGGGCGTCAGGGTTCGGGATGTGTCACTGACGCTCAGGGCCTCCCTCCCTCAGCTCCCCATCTCTCCCTGAGTGACCTCCTCTCCTCTCCCCTGCCCGCCCCTCTCCCCGCAGTGTGCTGACGATCCCGACGCCGTCCTGCACTCGCGTCAGCTACCGTCCGCCTGCCCCGGCCTGCCCCACAGCGTGGTGAAGCTGAAGCATGGCGGCAGCGTGGCCGTGGACGGCCAGGACGTGCGGCTTCCCCCTGCTTGCAAGGTGCCGCCTCCCCCCACAGCAGCCAGGCTTTCTGGAGCCCTCTCAAGTGGACACGGTGGGCGGGGGCATGCATCCCTCGCAGGAAGGAGGGCTTTCCTGGAGGAGGGAGGGGGAGGAGGAGAGGAAGAGAAGGAGGAGGAGGAGGAGGATGAGAAGGAGGAGGGAGGAGGAGGATGAGAAGGAGGAGGAGGAGGATGAGAAGGAGGAGGAAGAGGACCAGGTGGCTGGCTGGATGAGGAGGAGGAGGAAGCGGAAGAGGAGGAGGAAGAGGAGGAGGAGGAGGGGAGGAGGAATGTGGTGGAGGAGGAGGAAGAGGATGAAGAGGAGGAGGAGGAGGAGGAGGAGGAGGGGGAGGACCAGGTGGCTGGCTAGATGAGGGATGAGGAGGGAGGAGGTGGAGGAGAAGAGGAGGAGGAGGAGGAGGAGGAGGAGGAGAGGAGGAGGAGAAGAGGAGGACCAGGTGGCTGGCTGGATGATGATGAGGAGGAGGAAGAGGAGAGGAGGAGGAGGAGAGGAGGAGAGAGGAGGAGGAGGGACCAGCTGGCTGGCTGGATGTCCCGAGAAAGGCAGAGCCAAGCCAGGAAAAGTGAGGGGGGAAGGAGGTGGAGGAAGTCAAGGGGACTTTTTCACTGCACTTGACCCCTGAGAGTGAGTGGAGGGTGAAGCCAGCAGGGCTTCTGGGGACAGTGGGAGAGGGCAAGGCTGATGCTGAGTGGCCGAGGAAGGTCAGTCAGACCGATGT